AAAGGTGGGTCGTTGACGGGTTTCGTTTGGTTTTGTTCATGGCGGAAGCAAGGTTGAAGGAGAAAGAGGAACGGAGGCTATGGGTTTTGATTTCTAGAATGGATGTGGTTACCGGCGATTGGGTTACGGAAACGGCGGGTTTCGGAGATATGAATCACGGAAAATGGTGAGTTTATAAGTTGAGTTAATGGAAATGACGGAAAACGGAGGGGTTCGTGTTGAAAAGGTGGTGTGTGGTTTGAGCTTTTGGGTTGTTTGAAATGTTTGCTTGAAAACGGTGACGTTTGGAGGAGGTTTATGTTGATGATGGAAGAAGAGGCTTTTGAAGGTGAACTTTTGAAAGTGTGAAATGAAAATGGTTTTGCGTTTTGTATGATGAAGATGAATGTGTTGTTCTGGGTTGATTATGGAGGTGATGTTGGAGCTCAGTGAAGAAACAGAGGTGGGCGGCTAGGGTTTCTTGGTGGGAGGTAGGGGAACATGAATAGTAGCAGCATATATAGGAAAATGGCACGTGTACAAGGGCTGACTAATGACTGATTAAAGAAAGCTGATGATGATTAATGGGATGTTAATTACAGTTGACTCTAAAAAAACTAATCAAATTAAATCTAAACCCCTATAATTAAATAAATTCTAATTAAATAACTACAACTAATAATTCTGACTGTTAATTAATAAAATAAAAACCTATTAGCTCTAATCTAATCTATCTCTGTAATATTTAAAAAAAGAAATCTAAAATGTTAAATAAAAGAAAATAAATCTATCAATAATAATAATCTAATTAAAAACACATAAAATCCTATTTAACTTCTAAAAACTATTTCTATCCATTAAATATAAATAAATTCTAATTAAAAAAACTATCTTCTAAAACAAAATATTCTAAAAAAATTAAATAAAATCTATATTAAATTATCAAAATTCTAAAATATAAATCTATTTAAAATAAAAATCTAAAATTAAATTCTATGCTAAAAATAAATTAAACTATACTAAAAATTAATTAAAAAAAAAGTAAAATAAAACAGTAAATCAAAACGGAAAGATCAGATGAACACCGAAATGTCACCGAAAATACCAGCACGGACTGGACCACCAGAAAGAGAAATCTCCGCTCAATTTCAAATAAAGCTCCCTATTTGAACTGGTTTAAATTTCCTGGAACGCGAGAAAAGAGGCTGTAATCCCGATAAATCACTTCGACTGACAAAATGCACAGTATGCGATAAATGATATGCAAATGCAAAATGAAATGAAACATATGCCAAAATGCGAGAAACGGTTGGTCAAATTTTGGGGTGCAACAACTGCCCCTATTCAAACAGCTTGGACCTGAATGGGTGAAAAGCGAACGACTTTCAAGCATTCAAAGGTAAAAGACGGTTGAATACCAAAGAACCCGTAAATTTGTCAACCGCAAAAGAAACTGTCCACTGGAATAGAATCACCGGAGAAACTGTATCTGATAGTTGCAACGACAATGAGCTAACTCATAACCAAATGGGAAACATCGACGTCAAGTCGGTAAGAACATCTGACCTCGCCGTTAGTCATCAATCAAGTACAAACATCTGACCTCGCCGTCAGCTCTTAATAGCATCTAACTTCACCATCAGAACTCAACATCTAATCTGTAAAACATCTGACTTCACCGTCAAAACTCCATATAAAATTGGTAAAACACCTGACTTCGCCGTCAGTCCTCAAAATAATCTGCAATTCCCTACATAATCCGACTTCACCGTCAGAAATCTTAAAACAATATGACTTTGCCGTCGATTTTTCAAAATAATCTGACTTCGCCGTCGATTCTTCAAAATAATCTGACTTCGCCGTCGATTCTCAAAAATAATCTTCTGACTTCGCCGTCAAATCTCTACACCACCTGACTTCGCCGTTATTTCTCAAAAATCATCTGCAAAAGCGTCTAACATCGCCGTCAGGCCTCGACATCAAGTCGGTAAGAGCACCTGACCTCGCTCGCCGTCAAGGTGAAGAAATCCATTGAGGAAATACGAACTTGAATAAATAGACTCTGTTGGAGCGAATGATAAGATGAACGCATCTGTCAATGATCTTACTGGAGGCTTGAATACCACACAGGCCGAACAAAAAACCGATAATTGCTGGAGATACATCTGAAAATAAAGAGGTAACAACCTGGCTTATGTTTCAAATGCACATGTTTGAAGATGGCGTAATGCTCCATACGAAATGGAAATGCTACGCGTTTGGGAAGATGCTATGCACAATGCAAATGCAAAGGAACCACTTCAGCAAAATAAATGCTGAAGAGAGGAAAACAACTCCGCTGGGGGAAGGCTAGGCACGCCCAGTACCAGTGGACTCATGCTGGGGAATACAAGCCTTGGATGGCCTCCGAGAAAACTTCTGGGTAAAAATGCTCTACTAAGAACAAATTCACTCCCTAGTAATCAAAATCATGTTGAATTGAACTACTAGATTTTTCACATTAAGCTAAAACTCCGTTATACTAGAATTAAAAAAAAATTAAAAAAAAATTCTAATTCTTTTTAGATATTTGAGAATTTTGTTGTTTATCAATTTTTTTCAAAATTTCGACAAAAATGAACTTTTTAACAAGAGCTTTTTTAAAAGAATATCTTTCACATGAGCTTTTTTAAAAGAATACACTCAAATATCACAAATTATATCTTCTAAAGTATCTATTATTCATAAGTTCATCAAATTAAACTCTATGTGACACATGTTTTTTTGTCACTTCATCATGCCATATCCATTTTGTGTAATTTTGAATAATTCCATCAAATCTAAATGATTGAATACAACATCCCTTGGATATTTTTGCATATTTCGGCATTTTTTACAAGACACAGAAAAACCCCATTATCGTTAGGAAGGTTTTTTCCCACAAATTTAAAAAATTGAGTCACTCCATTCTCACACTCTTTACTTAACCTATTGACTTTTGTCCAACTACGATCCATAATCACATACAATTTTTGAAAATAAAATAAAAATAATACAAAACCAACAAAAATGAATTTTTCATCTCAATAAAACAACAATAACAACAAACAACTAACAAATAAAAATACCTAAAAAAACAACACTATATTATACCATAAGACTCAAAAACCATAACAATAACAACAACATCAACAACAATAACATCATGATCAACAACAACAACAATCATGGAGAAATTTTTACATAGCGAAAATGTGATGAGAGACTCAAAGAAAAATGTTGGTTTGAGGTTTGAGGTTTGAGCTTCCTTCCTCGTCGGAGAAGATGAAGAATGGTGTTTTAGTTCATTAGGTGCAAAAGAATGACTTTCGTTTCGTTCGCTGGAGAAGAATGACGTTTCTTTCGTTCACTGGGGAGTAAAAAGTGAATGGGACTTAGAAGGAATAAAATATTATTTAGAGTTTTCATCTTGATTTTTGAAAAATCCGAGGGAACATAACCGAGGTAAAACAATGGCTTTAATTTAATTAAATAAATTATTGTTTAGAGTTTTCATCTCGGTTTTTTAGAAACCCGAGGGATAAAATGATTTATAAAATAAAGAATTTTATTTATTTTAAATAAAACATAAAATTGCAGGAGTTTGGAATCGAAGCTCAAATTCTGAACAATATTTTATGTCGATTTTGCACAAAACCGAGGTATAAGATTTAATTTAAAAATAAATAAATAAACGATGTCTTCCAGGTCATTTGACCTCGGTTTTTCAATGGTTGAGGTGAAAGCTTTGTCATGAAATATATTATTTGTAGTAATGCATGTTGTATTTTGTCATTTCATTCACAAACTATCATTCATTATATTTTAAATGACCTAATATATCATGATCATCTATATCTGTAGCAAGTTCATGATTGTGAATACCACACATAACTGTCACCTTTCAATCGCTACCACTTGGCAGAGATCTCAACATAAATAAACATTTAACTTTATTAAAAGTGCCTTGAGAGGAATTCTTCGTCTTATACTTTCCTCATCTCTCGTAATCCATAATCAAATTATCTTTCCTCCTTTGAATCCATTTGTGGTATCATAACGAACAATAAAAACAATATCATGATGTTACCCAATAGATTGTGCACATGCTAACACGTCAACCCAGAGGAGAATATTTGACATTTACAACATATAATGAATGTATTCTTTATGCCATAAATACCCAAAGCCTATTAAATTTTGCACAAGATAAAAACAAAACATTCAAATAAAACATAGTGGTGAAAAACCAGGTAAAATATGTAGATGAACCATCCACCTCATGAGTGCACAAGAAAATCATGTTGAATTGAACTACTAGATTTTTTACATTAAGCTAAAACTCCGTCATACTAGAATTTTAAAAAAATTAGAAAAATTTATAATTCTTTTCAGATATTTGAAAATTTTGTTGTTTATCAATTTTAAAATGGAAAAATAACATCAAGGATATTTTTTTCGATACAAAAATTATGAGAGTGTATAGCTACATTTTTAAGGGCACCCCAACAAAATCTCCCAATTTTTGTACCAAAAAAGAAAAAGAGAAAAAAAATCCAAATTTTGACTAAATTTTAGTAGAAAACAATCCCCAATTTCGGAATAAAGTGTAGTTCAGATAACCCGATGAATAAATCCCAAAATGAAAATCCAATTTAGATTTCTTTTCCGTTGAATCTGTAAATGAGCTGTGAAGCAAGAGCTACAACCAAAAAACAAGTGTTTATCTCTCTCTGTATCTCTGGTATGTAAATTACAATATTCATCACTTTTCGCAATTTCGCCTCCAATTCCTCTTCTCTCTTCTTTGATTTTTGTTTCTTCAATCTCAACGAAATTTCTTCAATTATTAGTTTCACCATTTTTTCTTTCCAATTTTATTTATTTTTCTATGTTTATGATAAGTTTTTGATTTTGTTGTTTCATACTACTACTACTGCTGCTACCTAGGTCACTTTAAAGTAAGGTTTTGAGAGTTTTTCACGTTCTATTCATGTAGAAGAATGACTCATTTACCTTCGAAAAATCTTTGGATTCGGAAGCAACAATGTCCTTGTGGAGATTGGAAGTGTTACATCACATATGAAGGTGTTGCCAAGGAGGATTCTGCAGCACCAGAATCAGTGAAACCTGATAAAACATCGTCTTGTAGAGCTATCATTACCCCTTACGTTGGAATGGTGTTTAAGACTGATGATGAAGCTTTTGAATATTACGGTAATTTCGCTAGGAAGAATGGTTTCTCTATTAGGAAAGAAAGATCTAGAATTAGTCCTCAGTTAGGGGTTTATAAGCGCGACTTTGTTTGTTATCGATCCGGGTTTGCACCGGTGAAGAAGAAGGCGAACGGTGAACATCATAGAGATAGGAAATCGGTGAGGTGTGGATGTGATGCGAAAATGTATCTGTCTAAGGAGGTTATGGATGGTGTGTCCCAATGGTTTGTTGTGCAGTTTAGTAATGTACATAATCACGAACTTTTGGAAGATGATCAAGTTCGTCTTTTACCAGCGTATAGGAAGATTCATGAGGCGGATCAAGAGCGGATACTGTTGCTTTCGAAAGCCGGGTTTCCGATACATCGGATAGTGAAAATGCTTGAGCTGGAAAAAGGGATTCAAGGTGGGCATTTGCCTTTCTTGGAAAGGGATGTGAGGAATTTTGTCCAAAACCGCAAGAAGGTTGTTCAAGAGAACGAGGCGTTGCTAAGTGAGAAAAGAGAAAATGATGTTTTGGAGCTTCTTGAGGTGTTTAAAGCTGTGAAAGAAGCTGATGTTGAGTTTGTTTATGATTTTACGGTTGACAAGAATGAGAAAGTTGAAAATATAGCTTGGTCGTATGGTGATTCTGTTAATGCAAATGCTTTGTTTGGGGATGCGATTTATTTTGACATTTCGTATCGATCCGTTGCTTACGGATTACTTTTTGGAGCGTGGTTTGGTATTGATAATTGCGGTAGAACAATTTTGTTTGGTTGTGTTTTTCTCCAAGACGAAACACCCCAATCCTTCTCATGGGCGTTACAGGTTTACTACTACTAGCATAATCTGTATGAGATTTTACTTGTGCTTTCATAAATTTTCCGCTTACGATGATTATTCCTAAATACAGACTTTTCTTCGGTTCATGAGAGGAAGATGTCCACAAACAATTATATCTGATCTTGACCCTAGTCTTACAGATGCAATTAGAAGCGAATTTCAAGGAATTAAATATGTCATTCCACTTTGGAATATTTTGAACAAGGTACATAGTTGGTTTTCTCTTCCTCTTGGATCTCGTATTGTAGAATTTGAATCAGAGTTCAATGCCTTATTTCAAATTGAGAATACAGAAGAATTTGAACTTCAATGGAGCCAAATGATTTCTATGTTTGGACTTGGTTCAGATAAACATATTGATTTACTGTATTCGGTTCGAGCTTCCTGGGCACAATCATATGTAAGAGGTTATTTTTTGGCTCAAATGGTGACAACAGCTTATTCCAAGTCTATAGACGCGTTTTTTGAAAGGATTTTCGCCGAACATACATGTTTGCGTAGCTTTTTTGAACAGGTATGTTGGTTTACGATTCATAAGTAGGTGTGTTCTTATTTATGATTTGATTTGATTTACCATTCAGAAGTAGGTGTGTTCTTATTCATGATTTGAATCTGGATTTGATAACCATGCTCTTATAACATTTCCCCCCTCTCGTGCATATTGTTGCAGGTTGGTATTTCTGCAAATTTTTGTCATCAATCACATGGCGAGACTCAATATACAAATCTTAGAACCTACATACCAATCGAAGAGCATGCGCGGAGCATCCTCACACCTTATGCTTTCAATTTTTTGCAACAAGAGTTATCGTTGGCAATGCAATACTCCACATCTGAAATGGCCAATGGATCATATGCTGTACAACACTTCAAAAGGTTGGATGGAGATCGGTTTGTCATATGGTTAGCGGAAGAAGAGCAGATACACTGCTCTTGCAAAGAGTTTGAATCGTCAGGAATATTATGCAGACATGCCCTTCATGTACTTATAATAAAAAGTTACTTTCAACTTCCTGACAAATACTATTTAAGTAGATGGCGTCGGGAATGTTCTTTACTTGTCGAGGATGAGCATAACACCAACCAAAGTATTATTGGTAGGGAATGGTTTCAAGAATATCAATCTTTAGTTGAAACTTTGTTGTCGGAATCATCTGTTACAAAGGAGCGATCTGACTATGTTCGCAAAGAACTGACAAAACAACTCAATAGGATTCTAAACGAGGTTAGAAATCTGCCCGAGACTGACGATGTTTGCAACATGAACGTGTCGGTTTCGCCAAATAGCTAAGTTTGAAGTTTTTGATTGTACATATGTGATAAAATGCAAATTAAAAACCACTGCATAATGATAATGATGATACCGTGGTATACATGAAGATATGATTTGTTGCTGAAATGCAAGCAGCTTTGTTTTCTCATGTATTAGTCACACATGGGAAGATGAAAGTGATGATTGTTGTTTACAATTACAAGGACAAGTTATTGGCATTTGAGCTCTTTTAATTTTACTTTTGTTTTCCACAGTATAAATATAGACTAAGAAAAATACTAATTGAAGTCTCATAAACCACAATTAGATGGAAATTTCTGAAGCGCCATTAACCAGAACCATGGTTATGTTTTTCACCTTACTTTGCTTTTTAATAATAAAATGTATATTATGTGGGCCGGTTTCTTCATATTTCTGGAGCTCATTGTGTCTTTTCCTTGCAAGATCTTTGGCTTGAGACTTGAGATAATTATTTGACTTTATATATTGAATCTTAAGTTGGTAAAATTTTGGGAGGATTTGTAGAGGAAAATGACGTCTTTAAATGTTATTAGTGCTTATGTATTTTAGGTTAGATTACCAAAATATCTTAAGGTAAATTTTTTGGAGGACTTAGAAGTACTTTTCCAAGATATACTCCAATGAGTGAAGTTGCTTTTTAAGAGGAGATTTAAATGGACATGTAGAGAGTGTAACAAGAGATTTTGAGGGATCTAATAAGGGTATGGTTTTGGGGAGCTAAATGCGGAAGGGAAATCAATCTTGGGATTTGGGGAGCTAAATGCGGAAGGTAAATCAATCTTGGGATTTTTGTCAACTTTTGATTTTACTATAGCTAATACATGATTTAGGAAAAGAGAAGAACATTTTATTCACATATAATAGTAGGATGACATATTCTCATATATATTTCTTTTTTATTAGAAAGTAAAATATGAAGATTTTTTTCGACTATAAAATTTTAAAAGAGAGTTATACTACTCAACATAAAGTATTGGTTATGGATGTAAGAATCAAGAGGAGAACAAAGAGAAAAAGTCACATGGGAGCCCACATATCAAGTGGTGGCATTTGAAGGGTGAAAATCAAAGAAGTTTTCAACACAAGATCTTGGAGTGAAGGTTTGGACAATTACAAGGAAGTGCAAATGATATGTTGAATAAGATTGCCCAAGAGATTAGAAAAGTAGCTAAAGAGACATTGATAGAATCAAGAGGTTTTGGATCCAGGGGTAAAGAATCGCGGCGGTGGAATGAAAGTGTTCACAGTAAAGTTAGAGTAAAAAAAATTATTTTAAAGATTGGCTAGGTGTAAAAATGGAAAAACTTGAGGAAAATATAAGAAAGCTAAAAATGAGACCAAAAAGGCGGTGAATGAAGGAAGAATTCAAATTTTTAATGGATTATACCAATTTTTAAGAACCAATGAGTGAGAAAAATCTATATATAGGCTTGATAAGGGAAGAGAAAGAAAGACAAGAGATATTGATCAAGTGAAGTGTGTTAAAGATGAAGAAGACAAATTTTTGGTTCGAGAAAATGATATAAAGGATAGGTGAAAGACGTATTTCTACAATTTATTTAATGAAGAATATGATATGTTAATGGAATCTAGTAGACTCGACATTAAAGAAGAGAATCAAAATTATAATTATTACATCCGAGTTTAGAAATAAGAGGTAAAAGAAGTATTGAATAGGATGAATTCTTTGAGATATAGACATTAAGTGGCTTACTAAACTCTTTAATAAAATCATGAGATTAAAGCAAATGTCTGATAAATGGAGAAGAAGCACTTTGGTTTCAATCTGTAAGAATAAGGAGGATATACAAAATTGTGTAAATTATATGTGGATTAATCTTATAAGTCATTTATGGGAAAAAGTGAATGAAAGGAGAATAAGAAAAGAGAACCAAGTCATTGAGAATCAATTTTCTTTTATGCTTAGAAGTCAACCATGGAAGCAATATATCTACCACAATGTGTGATTGAGCAACATCGGATGGACCAACAAGACATCCACTTAATTTTTATTCACTTGGAGAATGCGTATGATAGATATCCTAGAGAGATTTTGTGTAAATCCCAAAGAAGGGGTTATAATTTCATATATTCGAGCTATCCAAGAATGTATGAAGTGGTATTAACTAGTCACTACTATAAAATATACATTTCACCATGGTTGGGAGAACAATTTTACCATAGTTGAAGGTCTGTGGTAACCAAAGATGTGGTAGTAAGTGGTCTATTTACCACCACGACTCGGTAGATGTGGTAAAATCAACATAATATGCAAACTATTACCACAATTGATAAAACTGTAGTAAGAGGTAGAACAGTGATGGGTTCGATACCATGCACCAACATTTTGGATGATTTAAACATTTCACCACAGTTGAAGGTTCCAACTGCAGTGATACATTTAACACATAACATTTCACCATGGTTGTAGATTTCAATTGTGGTGATATATACATTTGAGTTTATTTTAACTTATGCGAAATGCTTGTTTCACCACCAACTCACTAAATATATAACCTTTCAATTTGACTTAGAAAATAGTAATATGAAAAAATTAAGTTATATTTGAAGAACAACTTACACTAATCAATATTTTTTTGAGCTTTCTGCAACTCACTATCCATATCTTGCCCTTTAATAGTTGGAATTTGGTTCAATGCTTCTAATTCTTCAATCAAAACTTCCTTTTCTATTAGTTCATTATGCAAAGTATCAAATTTATTGAGAAATTGATCATCATCATCATCATAATTATCATGATGATGAATCCGAATTTCTCAACAGCTTTGATGCTTTGTAAAATGAACTTGTAGAAAAGGAAGTGGTAATTGAAGAACTAGAAGTATCAAAGCAAATTCTAACTATTAAAGAGAAAGATATAGATAATGGGCTGTAGAAAGCTCGAATAAACATTGAATAGTGTAAGTTCCTAAATTATAACATAATTTTTTAGATTATTATTTTGTAATTCAATTTAATAGGTTATATGTTCATTGAAGGGTTGGTAAAATACTCAACCTACATAAGATATGATAAACTCAATTATATTTTCTAGACATATTAGGTTGAATGATATGAAAGTTGCACAAAAACTAACATTATCAACAACAACATAGGGCAACAAAAACAACAATAATAAAACAACATTTTACCTATAGGTTAAAATATTATGTTTTTATTATTGTTTTTGTTGCCCTATATTAACAAAAAAAATAACAACATATATAACTCAACATTATCAACAGAAAAAAAAAACAAAAAAAAAAGCATAACAACATAACTAAACATTAACAACATAGGGCGAAAAACATAACAAGATAATGAAACATTAACAACATCAACTCAACAAAAACAACAACATAACTAACAAAAACCACAACAAAAACATAAACCTTTACGTAACTCAACAAAAATAACAACATAACTCAATAAAAACAACAACATAAATCAATAAAAACAACAACATAACTAAAAAAAATCACAACAATAACATAAATATTTTACTTATTTCAACAAAACAACAACATAACTCAACAAAATCAACAACATAACTCAATAAAAACAACAACATTAACTAAAAAAACCACAATAATACCATAAAACTTTTACTTTTCTCAATAAAAATAACATAAATCCTTTAATCTTTTCTTAATAACAAGAAAAACATCAAACCCTAAAGAAGAACAACAACAAAGATATAACTCACAAAAATGGTGAAAGTTGAAAAATGTACCAGAAATGCGAAGAGGAAGACAAAGAAATGAGTTTTGTGTTTCATCTTACAAAAATTTGTGAAATTTTTTCTAGATCCATACTAATTGGAGATGTTATGTTGGAGTTTTGTAAAGATATGTAAGAGTTTTGTTAGATTGGGACAAGGCATGAGAAGTTAGAATTTCACTTAAGAGCACAGTCTATTTTGAAGTGAATTAAGTTTGCTTATATAAAAGGAATCATAGTGAAATGTGCCTGACATTTAATCCTGGTTGTTAACTTGGGTTGTGGTGAAAGCTAATTTAATTTTTATTAAAAATAAATATAAATTAAGGCTAGACGCTTCTTTTGTTAAGAAAAAACATAAAATTGATGGTAATGGCATTCGGAACTTGGCCCCCTTAACATTTCACCACATTTGTTTATCTGGACCGTGGGGAAAGTGATTTTAAATAGACGCATATTTGATAGATACTACTTCGGTTGCATTAATTTTCATAGTAAGAAAAATGTTACTAAATGTATATTTTATAGTAGTGAGTGTGCGAACACAGGATGAAGAGACTGAAAATTTTCCAATTACAATAGATTTGCCTTAAGATTCAATCATAAGCCTCTATCTTTTTATTTTAATTTTGGATGTACTCAAAACACATCCAATAGTTAACACTGAGATGTATGTTTTTTGTATATTATATAGTATTACTTGAAGAGTTGAATGTGTATTTAAATGAGAGGTTTGGGACTTAGAGAAGAGGTTTAGAAATACATGGATTTTGCTTAAGAAGAAGTCAGACGGAGTATATGGAATGTAAGTTCAACAAAAGGGGAAGTGTTGGTAACCTATAGTTGAAAGTTGGAGATCATATCATCTCACAAGTCACGCATTTTAAATATCTTGGACTTGTAATACAAAATGATGGAGAAATAAAAAAAGGGAGTGTAAATCATCAATTTCAAGATGGGTGGCTAGATTTGAGGATGCTTTTGGAGACTTTATGAGACACGAATGTACCATTCAAGCCGAAGAACTTTTTTTATCGAACTCCAATAAGATCTACGATGTTATATAAGACAAAATATTAGACAGTTAAGAATCAACACAACAATAACATAAGTGTAACAATAATAAGGATGATGCGTTATAAGTGATAATATTAGAGAGAGTGTTAGGGTATCACTTATAGTAAAAAAATATGGTGAAAAATAGACTTTTATGGTTTGAGCATGTAGTAAAAAACCTGTAAACTTTGTAGTAAGAAGAGTAGATCAAATGGAGAAGA